TCAGACTGTGAGCAACTTAGAAGTCTTATTTACCTTGATAATGCACACCTTGCATAAGCCCTAAAGCACAAGGTTTCTTGTTTGATTTATAATTCTGGAGACTGAACCCAGGACCTTGTACGTACTAGACAAACGCATTAAGCTATATTACATGTAGCTACCATTAAGCTGCACCCCCTTCTTAACAGCAGATGAACTCACACACTGCAGGGAAGTACAAGTGGAGGCTGCAGCCTCTAACCAATCACAGATGGCATTTTTTTCTTGCCCAGTGGACCGCAGCACAGAACATGAGCACCTTGGGGATATGCAAATACATATAAGACTCTGCCCATGGAGAAATTAAAATTAGAGCTAAACTTGAAATGTAGCAGTAGTGTGTGGGTGAGGGGACGGGAGGCGGGCCCTTATTCAGAAACCAGAGAAGTGAAATTACTAAGTGGTGATTTATTTTAAGTATGTTTTTCTGTACTGTCTAGCTTTCCTTCCTTGAGTATGTTCTAATTTTATAATCAGGAAAAACAACAATAAGTGTTATAAAAACAAACCAACAGAAAACCCAGCAAGGATTTTAGACTACCAAAATCACCCATTCCTATGTTTCCTTGCCATGGTTAGGCATTCTGAATTCAGGACCCTCCCAGATGGGGGCCTTGCATTTTTTGAGGAACAGTTCCTTCCATTCCTCTGAAGCATGGAGGACAGGAAGGTGCTAGAAGTGGGCACTTTCTGCTGCTGCAGTAGCTTGCAGTCATTCCCAGTGCAAACAAGGGCAAATCTCCGAGCTCCAAGAACTGGAGGAGTATGGAAGCGATGACCCAGCTTAAGACCAGCCTCTGCCAGATGTGAGCCACTGTCTGGCATTCTGTAGCCCCTTTGCATATTTCTTCTGTGCTACTTTTCAGATTGGGGTTCACTCACCACCTGTCTTCCTGATGCACGGATGAGAGGCTGCATCTGTAATCACCTTGCTCCCCTAGCCCAGGGCTTAGTACTAGGAAGCCCTCAAGACACATTCATGGAACAGTGGAGACCACACCTATGAAGTACTAAACATAACCAGCCCCAGACCCTGGGACATAAGACTGCATTAACCACCAGATACTTCATGTCTTTTGTGCCCTAAAGGTCCATCATTCAGTCCTGAAGAGCAGAGTGGAAGCCAGTCATTTCTTGGAAGATTAATAAGGCTGCTTTTACGTTTGGGAAATCTGGGTTCCTCCAGTAAGAGCAGATTATCTAGTCTGCAGTTTAGAATCATAGCTGACTGCGACTTCCAAAGACACCCCTTCTTGAAGGAGTGAAAGCCTTGCTGAGGGATCTGCAGGAGACAGTGAGCTGGGCCTCAGGTCAGGGTTAATAAAGTGCTTCCAGAAAACTCCAGATTTTCTATTGTCTGCACTCAGGAATCACTTCTGACCTCTTGTGAGCTCAACTTGGGGTTCACTGCATGAACTCAGTTTCTTGCCACTCACAGCACCTGTTACCAGCCTCTTCCTTAGGTGGCTGGGCCAGGGCCCGCTGGTCCAGGAGAACAGTACCCACTTCTGCTTTCGACCTCTGCGCTGGCTGGCTGATTTGAAATTCAGCATCATCGGAGTAGGTGACAGTAAGCAGCCCAGAGGCTGGATATGAAGAGCCAACACAGCAACTCCAGGCACCCTCACAGGGGTTTTAGAATTGGTGAGTTCGGGGATAACCACAGGTTCCTCACAGAAATGCCACCTTCTGACTGAGCACAGACGCATGCGTACACTGCTAGCACTCTTTCTGAACGTTGTAAAACAATAGTTCAGAGTATGAAGTTTTGTACCTTAGAACTAAGTGCTAATTTGTGAGCTTTATCCCATTTCATCCACACAGTATACTTCGGAGCAGGTATGACTGTGACCCCCCGACTTTACCAAGAGAGGCAGGTTCTATGTGGCAAGCAGAGCTGTCCAGGATCTGTAAGGCAGGAGGTGATGAGGACAGAGCTTCTACTTGTTCTCCTACCCATGAGAACCCTCACTGAAGAAACTGACACATACTGCCACCAGTCAATCCCAGGGTCACAAAGACCCACAGGGTTCAGAGGCCCGCAGCAAGCCAGGCAGCACAACAGACCAGGCGGGAATGACACACAGGTGATGAGCTGGCAACACACCCGCCTGAGACAGCTGAAATAAGACCCAAACCAAGTTCAACCTTCTTCCTGTAACAGAGGCAAGCTGAGATCCAGGGAGCTGATGGAGACAAGGCAGCACAATGTGGTGGAAAGTTCAAGGGTAGCAGGGACAGCCAGTTCTCATTTGGTTCTCCAGTTCTATCAGCTGCCAGACTGTAGACAGGGCACTTCGTCTCTGTGCGCCTCTTTTCATGTCAAATGGAGCCAATCTCTGTCTGTCTCACATCACTACTATTAAGATTTAAAGGAGTCAGCAAATGCAAGATGCCCAGTCTTGTGTGTGACAGTTTTCACAAAGGTATAAAAGTCAAGTAAGAGCTCAGGACACAGTGGTCCCTTTTATAACCTGTCTCCACTCCCAAGATGCCCCAAACTCACTGCTCACTAAGAGGCCAGTGCCTAGTAGAAAGCCTGGCACATGGGTGCAAAGGAGACACAGCTCAGTTTTAATCTAACCCTAGATTTAATCCTAGATCTTAATCCTAGATTTTAGTTTGGTAAGAGAGAAGAAGGGGAACTTTGGTTTGCCCTCATCCCCTCCTTTAACCTAGACATGCCCCATGCTGCTGGGGAAGGACAAACAAAAGGTTGTCTTGGACTTTGACTCTCCGAGTTCTAGGTTTTGTTGATTTAAGGACTCTTTTATCTTGTTGGGTTTTTTGGTTGGTTTGTTTTGTGGTGGTGGGGATGGAACCCAGGGCCTGCACTCAACTACTGAGCTACTCCCAAGCCAGGGCTCTTTATCTTTAAGGCCTTCCCAGACCCTACTCTTGGGAGGATGTGTTATTTAGAAACTATTTGTTCCAATAAGGTCTTGGTTAGCAGGAGGGGGCTCATGGCCCTGTGGCAGGCATATCTTAGAGCTGTGGTCTTCCCCAGTAACAAAGCCCACTGAAGGTAGACTGTTGCTACCATGGAACCAGCCATGGTCCTGGGTAGCCAGAGGCTGGAGCCACCCAGCTCCCTAGAATTGATCTTGAGACTGAATAATCTGGTCATCCTTCTTCCTCAGGTCATGGTGAGGAGGTGATGCCTGAAGGACAGTACCTGGCCTTTGTGGTCTCTGCCAGAGGCCAGGTGTGGACAGATGAGGGTAGCCTTAGTTTCTTGTTTTATGCTGCCTTAAGTCAGTGCTATTAAAGTATGCTTTTCCAACACACACACACAACACACACACACACACACACACACACACACACCCCAATGAAACTTTTCCCCCTCTTTATTTGGAAACCCCAAACCTGAATAAAATCATCAAAACTCAGTAGTAACTTCATACGGCCTGTTTCATGTCCTCTAATTGTCCTACAGGTGTCAATTTTAGTCATTCTGGGTTACTGAAAACCTAGGGCACTTTGCTTCTAAGGCCATAAGGATCTGCCTCAAAGGGAAAGAAATATGGATGGTTCATTCTAAGCTGCATTTGGAAATATCAAGATCTAGTTCTGTCCCCTCATTTGGCACATGAGGAAACAGAGGTCCAGAGAGTGCAAAATGCTTGCCCAAGGTCACACAGTTCTAATATGTGCCTGCCTGCCTGCTTGCTTTCCCTCCTGTTTTTAATGGTGATGGGGATCAAACCAGGGTCCTGGCTCATGCTAGGCAATTGCCCTACCACCAACCTATGCCCACAGCCCTTATTTTTATTATTCAAAGCTGACATTCTTCCCCTTTAAGTACAGCTTGTTAAGTATATTTAATATAACAGGGGAGAGGGGCCACAGCACCCCATAAGCCATCTCAAGCCACCCAGCTCCCTAGGATTGATCCTGAGACTGAATAATCTAATCATCCTTCTTCCTCAGGTCATGGTGAGGAGGTGATGCCTGAAGGACAGTACCTGGCCTTTGTGGTCTCTGCCAGAGGCCAGTGTGGACAGATTGAAAACCCTCAGCTCAGGAAGGGAGCTTGGGGTTATAGGGCTCCTTCCCTTCCTCTTTGCACAGAGTTGCTTGCTTAGTTTAAAACCCTAAAAACAGATACCAACAAATGGAACGCCTAAGGGTTTACATATTCTGTTTATTTTCTAAGCATAAACAGCAAATTTTAAAAAGGAAGCAATAAAAAGATCACAAAGGGGGCTGGGGCTGGGGCTCAGTGGTAGTGCACTTGCCTGTATGTGTGAGGCACTGGGTTCGATTCTCAGCACCGCGTATAAATAAATAAAAACATAAAGATCTATCAACAACTAAAAAATATTTTTAAAAAATCACAAAGCCAAAGTTAAAGATTTCCCTTCCTTTCAATCTTGGGAGTCTCCCCATGCCCCCAAAAGTTTCTGCGGTAAGTGATGACTTCAGAAGACTAACATGTCTGTGTATAAAATTTAACTTATTAAATTTATATTTGTGAGGGGAAGAGTCTAGGGAATTTTCACTTTCAGAGACATTTATTTCTAGAAGGTGTACAATGTTTTGTAACACCTTTGTAATCAGAAAAAAAAATAAAGTTTTCAAATACCAGTTTCAGGATTTACTTTGTCCCCTGTATTTGGGGCAAACTGCTGCTTTTAAAGCTAGGGATACTGTCAAAAGTTCTTTGGGTGAAAAAGTAAACCAGGATCTGAACAGAGCCCTGGAAGGCTCGGGGCTCTGACTCCAGCCCCAGGCAGTTTCAGAGAAAGCTGCAATTTTCAGAGCAAGCTCACATATATCAGAACATAAAAATAGACCCTTTGTGACCAATGAGCTAGAAAGCAAGCTCTCCAGAGAGCTCCGCTTCTCCCTGGAGGTGGGGGTGAGGAGGGAGTACAACTCTACTTACGGGTGCAAAGTTCCTCAAACTGCAGAGGTTCCCGGTCAGAAGTGAAGGTGGAATTAAGAAACCAGCTTTGAGAAGGAGCAATCCAGACCCAAGGTTCAGGCAGAAGTCTCTCGGCCCTCTCCCTAAATGAAAAAGCACTTCGAGGTTTCAGTGGGTGTTTCCCACATCTCCGGCCAACTAAGTCCCCATTTGCTGTAATCCAATGCTCAGGCTGATGATGTCAACCACTTCACTCACTTGCTCAGTTTCCACCTCTCAGTCCACGGGGGAGATCCATTTCCTCTGGACAATGAACTGGGGGGCTGTAACCGCATCCCAGGCTGGTCACATTGGCCTAACATCCTTCCTTCAATTTTCAACCCTGAGGCCCTAGTGACAAAAGGCTTCCTATCTACTCACTCAGCCGGGGCTCCTAGCGTAAATCCTCTGCTTGTTAGTCACTGCCAACTGGGGGCCATCTAGTCTGCTGGGTTGTGTTTTAATTCATTTCTTTGGTGTATAATGTGTCAGGGAGGAAGCCTTCACCCACGCCACAGCTCTCTGCTCAATTCTTCAAGTCACTGAATTTCTCCAGAGTTTCCCAGGTACATAATGGGCACAGTGTATGTGTTTGTCCCTTTGTAGTGAGATGACAGGTCTCTAGGAAAGCACTGGTGTTTTGCTTGGGAAACTCATTTGGGTCTTGGCCACTCCCCCAGCTGTATGAATGGCCTCAAGCAAATCCTCTCCCTATCTGGACCTCAGTTTCCTCATCAGTAAAATGATGGCATGGGTGTCCTCCCCTTTTGAAATTCCATGACTGGAAACCAGTGACTGCTGAGCTTATCAACAAATGCATCCCAAGGCATTTTAACCACAAGCTAACCAGCCCAGTTGCCTGGCTCTGCTGGCTCCTTTAAGCCCCCTCATGACGAAGTTGACAGGTTTCTCAAGGAGAAAAGCCTAAAGAAGTCACTGAGTGAAGCCAGTCCGGAGGCTGGGGCAGAAGTATTCCAAGTTCTAGGCTAGCCTTGGAAATTCAGCAAGACCTTGTTTCAAAATAAAAAATTAAAAAGGACTAGGGATATAGCTCGGTGGTAAAGCGCCCCTGGGTTCAATCCCCAGTACCAAAGGGGAGGGGAAAAAAGAATTCACTGAATGAGTCCCAGGGGAAATAAAAAGAGGCAGCATAAACTACTAGATAAGATAAACAAGAACAAGTAAGGGAACTCAAATGTCCTTGGGGATCAACAAGAAACAGCAGTGGATAGAGATAACAATAATGCCTTACATTTGCTGGACAGTGGAGATATGAAAACCCTCTTTCTCAGATGAAGGAGAAGCAATGATCCTGAGCACTATTCAGGGGAGCCAGAGATGTGTACCTGGGTCCTTTGTGACTTACCACCCTAATTTTTCTGTTCTCTTAACTGTGCTGCCATTCTAGGATTGTGAGAATTAAAAAATACATGTAAGGGGAATGAAAGTAGTTGGTACATACTTAGCATTAAACGGATGTTAGCTCTCATTTGTGCACATAATCTCATCTGATTCTAATAACACCCCCAGGAGAATTAGGGGCCCAGGGGCTGCATTATTCATCTCTGTTTCCTGGACAGGAAAATGAAACACAGTGAAGCTAAATGACATGCTCAAGGTTGCACAACTCAAAACCAAAAAGTTGGCATTAAAAATGGAGATTCTTCATTCCTGGCTATGTCCGAACACATGTCCCACACCTGCCCCACACCTGCCAATGCTATTTCTCCAAATAACTACTCTATCCAGCCTGGCAAAGGAAACACTTCAGGCCACCAGGTCAGACCGGGGGCTTACTTGTTTTGCTACCAAAACAATGAATGGTCTAAGGCAAGTCTGGCTGCAACTGCTTCACCCCAAAGGGACAGATCTGATCGGGCTTAATGCTATTTGGATGGGGCAGGGGTTAGGACTTGAACTCCACTGGGAAAGCAGCTCTTTATCAGCAGGGGCAAGGCTATGGCACTTTGTAACTTAATAAGAATTTTAATTATTTCCCAGAAAACCTTGATGATTATCAGGAAAGGTCCAAGCAAACAGGCTCTATTAAGAGGGTGCTTTCCAATCTGAAGGCTTTGGAACAAAATGGTGGACTGTGGTGGAACAAAACCACCAGCCTGCAAAACTCCAGGGAGCAGCAGTTAGCAGCCCCCAAAGAGCTGAGTTCCTCCTAGTCCCTGGACCTCCTCTAGCTGGGCAAGTAGTTCAATGTCTTTATGTCTTGGCTGACAATGTAAGATGAGAATAACAGCATTTACCACTGAAGGTTCTGAATGGGTTAAGTGCCCAGAACATACTTTAAGTTCAAAAACACTTGTAAAAATAAACTACAATAACTTATTGGTAAAACATTATTTTCTAATTCTGACTCAGTTTCGCCATCCTCTGCCCTGATGATGATGTGACACAATAACAAAGTCAAGGATGCTGGAAAGTCAGAAAAAAGGCCTGTATTTCTGCAGAATGTCAGGCTGAGTAATGAACAAAAGCCTACTTCAGAACTGTCAGGCCTGTTCTCAGCAGCAACACTCAGCCTGGAGGGACTAGAGGCTGGGGCCTTTATTCCAGAAGCCTGAGTGGGTGTCAGGAAATGAAGCTGGGCTCTCGAGATGGGTCAGTTAGCTGACATCACCATCGGTGCTTTGAATCATGTTTTGTTAGATGAGCAAAAATAATAGTAAGGAGCTCATTCATAAAACACCATTATTTCTTCATCTACTTTGCAATACTTGCCTAATAATTCTATATCTATCTGTGTCAGAATCCATGAGGAGAGGGCCCTAAGCACCTCATCCACCACTAACAACCATGGGCACAGTTATTTTGTATCACAATTGAAGACAGTGGATACGTTATATGCACTGGAGCCTTCCTCTGCTCAGCCCTTTTCATAAGCCATTTCATGTAATCCCCATGACGATCAGGTACAACAGGCATAAATGATACTCACATCTTAACAGCAGTGGCAACAGATACAGGGAGCATGTTTCTGAGCTGTGCAAAGCCCACAGGATAGAGGCAGGGCTGCACTCCAACTCAGGGCAGTTTGGAGCCAGGCCTGGAAACCCCAACCTCCTGGGTAGCACCTCTTACAGGGCTTCCCAGCAGGGAAACCCGGATTGCTCCACAGTAGGCTCCATCTGAAAACTGGAGGAAATGGAGGCAACTTTGGCTGCTGACCTGTGCAGAACTGGCCTGAGGGCTCAGACAGCCCCTCCACCACAAATTCCCATACCTACCCCCTACCTAGTCTGAAAGAGCTCTCTCCCTCCTCTGAATTTCCTCAGTTTCTCCTCTGAATTTCTTGGTATCTGCTTCTCTCTTAGGAAAGAATTCTTTAAACTTTTCATCAAGATTCTTTTATTACTTTTTTTAAAAAATTCTTTTCACTGTTTAATTGTGATTTCAATGGTACATGAACATTTATATAGTTTCCTTTTTTTTTTTTTTCTCCTCATCTCTAGCATTTTTGAAGCCAGTTATTTTACATGGATTAGTTTTTTGGGAACTAGGATGTTTGATTAATGTATTTTAGTTTTGTTTTATATTCCTTTATTTTTAATTTTTTTAATTTAAATTTTAACTTTATATATATTTTTTCTCCTATTTTCCTTGATTCTCTCTTTTTTTCTAACAGCCAATCTCTATTGTTCTCTTTCAGTCTTCCTTTAATCTTTTACTTCTATCTTCTCTCCTCTTCCCTCATAATCATCACCTCCTATATCACTTCTGTTCTCTCTCCACCATTTTTATCCACATTTTTATCCACATATATGAATACAAATGTGAATATATATGTGAAAATGTAAAATATATAAGTAAAAATGTCCACCATTTGAAAATGTAAACCCTTTTGCAAACTTTCTGTTTTTATTGTAGGCAATAACTGATCATATTGTTTCTGTTTATTGCAATAATTAACATTGTAGGCGTCATAGTAGGAACTATTTGGTTTAATGCTGTATATTGTTTGCATTGGCGGTTGTTATTATTTGTCTCCCCCTAAACAGAGAGGTACTGAAAACCTGCAGGGACACTATAAGTCCTTAGGGAATAAACTCTACTGCCTCAGATCTAAACTATTGGATGGGTAGACACACAAACAACATGAAAAAGCAAGGGAACAAATCGCCTCAAGCAAACCAAGGAACTCCAGTAACAGAATCCATCAACACCACATAGGAAGAAACGTCAGAGCAGGAGTTTAGAATGTGCGTAGTTAAATTGATCTGCAAAGTAAAGAATGGGTGTAAGAGAGAAAACACAGGTAGCAAAAGATCACTTCAATAAAGAGAGAGAGATTCTGGGGGGTAAAAAAAAAACAAAACAGAAATCCTTGAAATGAAGCAAACAATAAACTAAATTAGGAATTCAACAGAATGCATCGCTAACAGACTAGATCACTTGGAAGACTAACCTCAGGCAATGAAGACAAAATACATAATCCTGAAAATAAAGTTGACCACAGAGAGAAGATGTTAAGAAAACACAAACAGACTTTCTAAAAATTATGGGATAACATGAAACTACCAAATTTAGGATTTATCAGGATAGATGAAGGCCCAGGTGTACAAATCAAAGAACTGCACAATCTTTTCAATGAAATAATATCAGAAAATCTCCCAAATCTAACAAATGAAATGGGAAATCAAATACAAGAGGCCTACAGAACCCCATTTGTGCAAAAATACAAAACAACCACATCAAGGCACATTATAATGAAAATGCCTAGCATACAGAATAAGAATAGAATTTTAAAGGCTGCAAGATAAAAACATCAGATTACATATAGAGGGAAACAAATATGGATCTTAGCTGATTTCTCAACCCAGGTCCTCAAAGCTAGGAGGTCCTGGAATAACATATTCCGAATTCTGAAAGACAATGGATGCCAACCAAGAATCCAATATCCAGAAAAATTAAGCTTCAGATTTGAAGATGACATAAAAACCTTCCATGATAAACAAAAATTAAAAGAATTTGCTACCAGAAAGGTTGCACTTCAGAATATTCTCAACAAAATATTCCATGAAGATGAAGTGAAAAAAAAAAAAGTGAAAATCAGAGAAAGGAGGAACTATACTAAAGGAATAATCAATTAAAG